CGGACCAGGGAGAAAGGGGGCGGGGAACCCCCAAAAGCCACAGCATCTGCCGCCTTTCTGCCTGGGGCAAGCTGCTGTGGACTCTGCCAGTGGACTCCGAGGCAATGCCTCCTCCTCCTGCAGACAGCGGGCCAGATTCAATCCTAAGGTAACTCAGCTGGCTTCAAGGGATGTACGGCACACACTGGGTCATTCAGATCTAAACTGGAGGCCCTGCTGTGGTGGGTGAGGAGCTGGAACAGTTTAAAGCACACAAAGCAGGAGGATGTCACCCCGAGTGAGAAAGACGAGCTTCACGGGAAGGGATGGGCAATGCTTCCTTCTGAGATGGGGAGAGGATCTTTTAGGGATGTGGAGATTCACTTCTATACCATTAACCCTGAGCAAACAACATCCCTGAAGGATCCTCCTCTCCTGGGATGTGCCCCCTCCCCGGCTGCCAAGGCACCTCTCAGGCATCGGGGTTCAGCCACTCTCTCCTGGGCACTCCTCACCTGTCTGCCCAAGGCCTTCTCTCCCCAGCCAGCTCCGCTGAGCCAATCCTATCACATCCTATCCCACCCCAGCCTTTGTGCCCATCTTTGGTGCATGCCAGTCATCTCAGATATCCAAGCACTCTGCATACGCAGCCACATTCAACATGCCCAGGAGAGAGGCAGTGATAATTTACTGTCCTGCTGAGGAAGGTTGAGCTCAGCATCCAGGCTGCCCCATTCAGTAACAGGTGCATGGTCCACGCCAACACTGCAGCTCAGCCCCAGAAAGGGCTCTCGGGGCCAGAGCTGCCTGGACATGGGCAATTTAATTCATAATCAATTCCAGCACCCAGGGAACTCACTGAGGAGTGGCACAGCTCCTTCACTGCGCTACTCCGCAGAGGTCAGGAGATGCTACAAGCCCCAGGTGCTGTGCTAGGACAGCAGCAGCTCACGCTGTCAGCACTGGAGGTGCCGGGGGCAGTCTCTGCTGCATCAGCCCAGAGAGTGACCGTCATGCCTGGCACAGACCAGCCTTTCCAGCACTTTCAACTCTCTTGAGCGTAACGGAGATTGGGAAGAAGGGCTAAAAATACCGCAGGGTGTCTCCAGAGCTGTCTGAAGTTCAGAGCCACAGCACCCAGCAACAAGAGGTCTTCTGATTACAGCCTTCTAAAATTACACCCCTGAGCAGGGCTGAGTTGAGCAGCAGGAAGGAGCCTGCCTTTGGCAATAGGGAGTTTTCTAATTGCTTTGGCAGCTCAGATCTGCCCCAGTCGAGTTGCTGAGGGACAGGACAGGCTGGGGGGATGCGCCTGCCTGCGCTGGAGACATTCTCCGAGACTCTGGAAGGAAACCACATGCTAAGGGAAGTGGTTTGGTCTGGTCATCAGGCACCAAACCCAGAGGCAGGAGACGTGGCTCAGGCTCTGCCAGTTTGTCAGTGGTGGTCACAGTCTCAGAGGGCAGGTCCACAGGATCAAGCAATGGCATCACAAAAGCACAGTCAAAATGGGCACGAATGGGCCTCTAGAAAAGATTTGCCAGAGACCAGCCACAGAAGCTGAGCTTCCCGGAGCATCCCTTTCCAGGCAGATGAACTCTTTCATGGGCATCAGTGAGTGAGAGCAGGGAACCAGAAGAGGGAGGAGGGAAAGAGCAAGGGAGAATCCAGGGAGGTGGTGGAGGAAAGTGGGTCTGGCAGCTGCAGACTCACATGCCAGCTCCAGCGCAAAGGTCCAACAGGGACTTTGCCAGGAGCAATTCTCTGAGGAGCATGCCTCACGGGGCTGCTGTACTCCATTCTGGATGTCCACATCACACCTGCACGACCCTAACGCTGGGGCTGAGAAGGGGGTGATAGAGTAAAGAAGGGCAGTGAAGAGGGACAGTCTTCCTGAGGCGATAACACAGCTACAAGACCTGGAGATTTGGATCTGAGCGAGGACTCGGACCTAACCTCACACCTCAGCACCCTGGACTCGCAGATGTTCAGACCTGGATCTGCAGGTAGGGGCTCACACTGTGGCCTAGACACTGTGATTTAGCAGCAGTATGACAAAGGCACACTGGGATGGGGAGGGAATGGGGACAGGGAGGGGACGAGGAGATACAGCTACAGAGACTGGGAAGAGGAGCTCTCACCTGTTGCCATCCTGAGGGGATCTGGGCAAAGATCTTCAGGCTGGAAGGAAACAGAAGGCTTGGTTAGAGGGCTCGGCTGGCCCTTGGCTTCCACAACAGGCTTGCTCTGGTTCGGTCCTGCCTGAGGCAAAGCGGCTAGCGCTTCGCAGAGCTCTGGGGCTCTGAATCTCCTTGCCGCCTTCTTGCTGCGAGACAGGTTTCCTAGGAAGCAGAAGGGAGGTCTCTGGCAAGCCCCGTGCGTGGAAGCAGAGGGATCTCCGGCACTCCCAGAGCTGCACGGCCACGCACACCTACCTCACACTAACGCACGCAGACCCACAGCACAGGCTGGTTGGAGAACACGCTGCCCTAGTAACTGGATGCTTACTCTGCGCCAGAGCCCCGAGCCCAACGGTGCAGATCCACCCAGCTGCCCTGCAACCGGACACCCACCCAGCTGGCACCGGGTCCATTTGAGATGTGCCTGAAGACCTCAGAAGAGAGTGACTCTGCCCCCTCCCTGCAGCTCTGAGGGTGCCCAGTCTACACCCCCCACCCAGCTTAGGACCTCTGCCCTTGCGGCCCCCTTACCTGGTGGATTCAAGCACTCCTGAGCCTTCTGCAGCAGCTCTAGAGAGCCGGTGAGGCTGTGCTTGTCACTGTGACAACCGGCCCTCCCTGCCGTCTGCTCCACCCAGCCAGCGAGAAACAGGAGACAAACACACCCCACCGGGATTGCAAGGCAGGCTCAGAGCAGGTGCGAACCGGGGAGAGATCTGGGGGTGAGTGGAGAGATAGACCTCGCCGGGCAGGTGTCTTCTCCAGCCCTGCTGTTCCAGAGCCACCGTTTGCTGGACCTGGCTGCTGCCTTACAATGAGACCGCCCTTGCATATTTAATGGCCTCAGGGATGCTTGGGTTACAGCCCGAGCTCAGGTGGCAGAGCACTCTAGCCACAGGACATGGGTCAGCGCTGGACAGGGCACAGGGAGGCCCAGTATGAAGCTGACCTAGATGCATGTACTGCTCCCATGGCCCAGAAAGCAGATGGATGGTCCCTGGCTGCAGCCAGCAGGCACTCTAGGGGATCCCCAGATGGCATCCACTTAGCAGAAGACTAATAAAACCTGGGTTCTCCCTCTGTGTCCCTCTGCTTTCCGAGCCCACAGGGAGCAACCCACCAGGAGCGTTTCCAAGTGTTTCTCTCCAGCCAGGAGGGCTAGGGACTCCCTTTTGGTTTTAAACCAGAACCAAGGGTTTCCCCTCATCACAAGGCTCCAGGAGCTGGGGCTTCCAGGACAATGCTGAGTACTACAGGATGTGTGATAACGTCACCAGGCACAGAGCACAGCATTGCCAGGAGGCCTATCCAGCTGCTGCATGTGTGAGTGACCACTGCCCCGTATGCCTGCCTTGTGCGACTGCATCGGCCTCTTGAAGGCTCAGGACAAGTGTTGTGGCTTCTTAACCTGGCTGGGGAAATGCCATGTATCTGTGTCCAAGAAGGTCGTTTTCCTGAACGGCATCACAGGAGAACTGCTCTTCTGGTGTGGTTCAGTACCCACTGAGGTGCAGCACCTTTACGCCCGGTTTGTGGAAATGGGAGTCTCCTCCCTTGCTTGCTCCAAGGGCCATATGGCTGAGGGCAAGCAAAACTCAGGGGCATCCAAACCCCAAGCCTCTGGGCTTGGGTCTGCAAGTAGGATGCCTGCCAAAGGTTTTGGAAGTTTTGGAAACATCTGGAGGATGTTTGCTGGTACTAGGGCCACTTATGGTTCTGGACTCTTGGGTTTGGAATTAGTTTTGGCTAATTTGGTCATGGATACAAATTAAAAAAAAATCTCTAACACAAAGCTGGTGCATCTCTGAGCTCCCAGTCACAGCTCCTCTCCACTCCCCAGAGAGGAGGATGCGCAGGGACCAGGCTGCCTGCTGCCAGGCAGTGCTGCACCCCAGGGAGCTCACTTTGGAGCCCCAAAGGGCCAGGTTAGCTCAGGGGCTCCAGCAGTGCTGCATGAGGGAGGCACTTGGCCTGATGGCTAAGATGCAGGGACAAGCCCCTTAGGCTGGACCCACAGTCCCTGGGGTCATCTGCTCCTGCCCTACTTGAGCCTCAAGCTTCCTTCCCAGCGGGAAGCCAGGCTGATTGATTGACAGCCTTCCCAAGCAGCCGCTTTCTTAAAAGCATAAGGCCAAACTTGTTACCCCACAGCGTTCCTAAGCACTGCATGGCTCTACCCCTAGCCTCTTGCTGCTGCTAATGCAAAGTAGAGAGCAGGTGAATATGTGCTGGGGACACTAGAGGGAGTTGGGGAGGGAAGCCCTGGGAGAAGACAGCTGGGGAGAGACAGCTGGATTTTGGGGGCATGAGTGTCCATCCATTCTCACCCCACTGACTGCAAGTCTGCAAAGGGCTGAGCTGCTCTGGTGTGATCCCACCAGCTGGTGCAGCCCCCCCATAAGTGGACAAGCTGCACACATGTGTGACGTGACTTGTATGTGCACAGCTTGCTCCAGCTATCAGCATAATCAGATACTGGCATGGGTGCAGCCAACAGAGGCAAAGATGCAAAGCAAGCTGAGCCTTCTTCCAGCCGGTTGTCTAAAGTGATAGGGCAATATCCCTTTAAATACCCTGTGATCCTTTCAGTGGTGCTCATGGTGTTTTGGAAGCAGCAGCAGGATGTCTAGCTAGGCCTAACATGCTGGGGCATTATAGCAAGGGCACTGAGGTTGGACCCAACCATGTCCCTGCCTTGCCTTCACGTTGTTGTTGGGTATAAAGAACAAAGACACAACATAGATTTGGCATGACTGCGCCATCCTCCGTGCTCCCTGGGCCAGCCGCCCTCCTCCTCAGCCCTGCCCAGAGCAGCAGACTTGCCCGGTCCTCTCTGCATCCTTGCCTGCAACCACCCAGCTCCCCCGAGAGACACCTGCCTCCCCCACACCACATCTGCAATGCCCCATACCCAGTCAGCGATCATTCCCCTTGCACAAAGCTGCAGCACCCTCCCTTCAACCTGGTGGGAACCAGGGGCTTGGAGAAGGGTCCGGCCACCTCCTTGGTGCTGGGCTTCATTTTTCCTGGAGCTATGGGGCACCTCAGGGCCCAATCCCCTCCCACCCACCCCTGGCTTCATCTCCTGTGGGCAGCAAACCCCTAAGTGTTGCTTTCAGGCCCAGACTTTTACCAGCTTGGAGAATGCTTGAACCCTTTGAGACGAGGGCTCAGACAGCCCATCCCCAAAATAGACCTATGTCCTTCCAGAGCCTGCACCGCAGCCCACAAGCCCAACCTCAGCAGCAGGAGGAGGGGAGTTCAAGTTACAGTCCCCCAGCCCAGGCCTAATAAGGACAGGTGCCCTTTGGGTTCAGCCTGCTCCTGGGTTCTAAGTATGGCCCAGATATAAATCCTCCCAGGGTCACTTCCACACCTGTGCAGGGGTGCGGTCAGCACCAAGGAGCTGCGGGCCAGATCCTCATCTTGCCCCAAAGGGCAGTCAGGCAGAGAAAGGCAAAGGTCATGAGGAACCCAAGTTGGTCCTGAAATAGGAGCCTTCTTGCTCCCGGGTGAAGTTCAAGAGCCCCCCTGGGAGCCATTTTCAGCCCTTCACCTTGCATTTCACACACACAAGGCCCCTGAAGCCCAGTTTTATGGGCAGAGGAGGCCTGAAGTGACCAAGTCAGCCCTGGCATGAGATGGGGCAGCTCCACTGAAGCTGTGCCTGAGCTGCTAGTTCCAAGGCTGAGCTTGAGTCCCTGAGGGTCAGTGGCTGAGGGGGGCAGGTCTGTTTGTAGGGAGGAGGTCGAGGGGTTTGGGGAGTGGGGCAAAGACTCTGGGTGGAGTTGTAGGGTGATATTTGCAGGTGCTCTCAAATGCCCGTGGCTCCAGGCCATGTTCAATCCCAACTCGCTTCCTACAAGCAGCCTCCTGGCTGAGATCGGATGACCTGGCAGCCGAATACCAAACATACCCACTACCTTGGGTCCCTGCCAGCACCCCCAGCCTTGTCACTCTGCATGCTGCAATGGCAGCTGAGCCAGCTCCAGCCCTGCCTCCACCCCAGCAGCCACCCTCAGCCTGGGGTAGTGAGGGGGGACACATTACGCACAATTATGTCAACCTCCCCGTCTGCTCTGGCTGCCCATGGTGGGCTCACAGCCCACCCAGCACCAGAGCAATGCAGGCCAAAGCTTTGCTTTCCATAAGCACAGAGACAGGAAAAGGAGCAGGTGTGATATGAGTGACCGTGGGAAGGGTTGGGGGATGCTTTTCAGTGTGGGGTCCCTGGCTGCAACACATGGACCAGAGCTGAGAGGTCTCAACATTGCTGCTGCCATGTCCCTGCCCAGGGAAGGAAGAAGAGACCCTTTCCCCAGAGCAGTGCTTCCCATCCCACAGCTGGGCAACAGACTGTCCCTGACCCGGGGGGCTAGCCCTGGGAAGCTGCTGACTTCAACATCTTAGAAGACCCAACAAGGACATTAGCCTAGAGAGAGAGACTGGGTGCTCCTGATAACCAAAGGGTTAGAGTGCTCCTCAGAGCCAGAAAGCAGCTCTGCCAGCCTCGCAGCCAGCCTGATGTTCCCATCCCCACCCCCGGAAGTGGCACTCAACAGCCCCTGCATCCCCACATGTCCCACCCCTTCTCCTGGGGGGCAGACAGGACCCATTTGCTAGGTGGGGCACTGTAACCTGAGGGTGCTTGTGAGAAAGACCATTGGTCTGGTTTCATGACTGCTGGGCCTTTCTGACTCCCGTAAAATCCCACGTCTCTCCAGTTTGACTCTATGGCCATGTAGAAAAAGCCACGACCCCATCAGGGCTGGCAGGAATTGTACAGCCCTGTAGTAAAGTGCCAAAGCTACAATCCTGATAGTGGGAGCTGACCCAGTAAGTCCAGGGGTGGCAAGGGAGCTCTGTGCCTGACAGGATCGAGTCTAACGCTGAAGCATCTGGGCTGGGAATAGCATCCCTGGGTGGCTGCTTCCTCATGGGTGATGCAGAGGGACCAGACAGGCAGCTGTTATCCTCTGTGGCCTGTGCCATGAGGGAAAA